AAAACACAGTTGATACACAGGAAAGGCTAAAGACTGCTCTGTCAGCAAAAACAAAAACAAAAGTAATAGAAGAACAGCATGTAATAGCAGGAAAGTGTGTGACTGGTTTGATGTTTTGATGAGTTTGGAGTTTTCATGTTATTGCGTATGCGTGTGTCTGTGGAGATTTGTGTTTGTGTGTGTTCCAGCTGCAGAAGTGATTGTAGACTGATTTAATGTCTGTGACCTTGTCAAACCTTGACAACATCTGTTTGTGTGTGTGCATATGTGTTTGTGTAACTGTGTGCAGTAAACGATTCTACTTTGCAGTGCACTTTGACCCTTCTCTTAGACCACGTATGTCAAATTCAAGGCCTGTCTGTACCAAATTCTAATAGATGGCTTTAATGCAGTGGTCAAATTCCAACCACAAACAGCCGGGCAGCCTAGGCTTATTTGCTATTATCTTTGCTGTGCAGTGTGCTCCCACAGTTCCACGCTGCACAGCACTACACCCGGCCGCCCCTCCTGGATGTCAGGTTGCTGTGGTCTTCTATCGGATCCTGGAGGTTTTTCCTGTTGCCAGGTACATCAGCATTTTGAAGTTATGTGGCTGCCCCTGTCTGTGTTTGACAGCCACCCTGGAGGAAAGGGCAAAGGCAGGCAAAAGGAAGAAGGAAAAGGGAGAGGAATGCCATTAAGATGAGCTGTATTCCCACAGACCAAAGCCTGCCCACCAGCCATGTGCTGCAGCTCACCTGGCTGCCAGATAAGTGGAGATTAGAGTAGGATTGATGGTATTAAAGGCATAAGAAAAAATCTCTCTGAAACCCCTGGACTGCCTCAGTACTTTTAGGATTTCTTGTGTCATATCTGACATTTTGATGCTGACTGGAAAAGGGCACAAAGGCAGACAGTCCGTGAAAGCTCTGTGGTCTGTTACATATATTTTTTCTTGTTTGTTCCCTGCACTCCGCGAGTTGCCGTTGCTACGGTATAAATTGCAGTTTTGTGAGTTCCCTATCTAGTTAGTGGAGAATAATAGTCTGGTGGCACTGGCAAGATCAATACAGGTCCGCAGCAGGAGGTGGAGCGGTCCTAATGAACTGAATTGACTGATACTGAAATATGATCAGTATTTCTTTGGCGGTCATTATCTTCCTTATGAAGAAGATCTATGACTCCTGGGTCGAGCTCTGAGTGTACACATCATGTGGTGCAGCACTGATACTGTTCTAAATAGCTAATGAAGTTTTTCCTTTTTTTCACAATAAGCTTTGCCTTTGTGAACATGTGTATCTCTGTCCTTTTGTCTGTCTTCTGACGCTCTACTGTAGTCAACCCGTCAGCAGTAGGAGCTGATGTGCCTGCATGAGGCAGTGCTGTTCATTTCATGGACTATCACGTTTTAAATTAGTGAATGCCTTCGTCATGCTTGATTAGTAATTCATGCAGAGCTAATTAAGAGGCATATTATGAGAAAGACTAGTGAGAAACCCCTCACACCTTAATAGGAAAATGACAATACCCTCAACTGTAAACAGTTGTGATTGATTGTTGTAACGTGTGGCCTAGAAATACGTTCACGCCTCTAAATCCATCATCTCTGAACCAGACACCAATATCCTCGTTTTTCCCAGTGCTTTGCTGATCTTGGAGCGTCTTTCTAGAACGTTGCCTTAACGATCCCTCTGGCCCTGGCTCTTTAATGCCTGGCATCATCACTTTGCGGCTTCTGGTGTGCACTGCTGCACAGCCTGGTGTTTGTCCCTGCCAACCATCATCACACACGCACCTGTACCAGCATCTGTCTGTTGGCTAAATTGGCACAGATGCTTTCTTTAGATTAGCTGTCTGGGTCGTCTAAATTTACTGCACACAGCTACATTTTTTCAATAAACAGTACAAGAAAATGACTTGAGGAATAACCCTAAGTTCTTTTTTTTCTGTGTATGTGTGTTCTACTCAGACATGCCGACACAGAGATCCAACAGTAAAAGGTTGCATTTGTCAGCGGGAACTTTTTATGATTCCAGACGCAACACTGTCATAATGACGTGTGTACCAACAGTATAATTCCATCATCAGAATCATTACTGCTATTATCTCGTGTCTCCCCTTAATGTGGGCTAATGGATGACCAATAAAGATAGATGAGCTTGGCAGTGTGGAGCTAATAGGGAGGACATGATGTCTGGCTTCTGCCCTGACTCCAGTCTTTACCCAATCAACTACTCCCACAGATACAGCATAGCTGTGCAATCTAGATTTACTTTTTTGTTGCTGCAATTAATCATTATATTATCAAATAATTGACCTGCCAATAAAGATGAATGAAATTTGTAAAAACCAAACCTCAACGAGCCATAATCTTAACTGACATTGAAAGTTTGCATTTAGTTATAAGTATAAAGTAGCTACAGTATGCATTTGAGCATGTAGGAGGAAGAGAAGGAGGTAGAGGATTTGTAAACCTGCCGACTTTTAAACAGTAAAGATTTGCCTCCGCAATTAATGCGTTGCTTAATTGTAATAAATAACTCATCCCGTCTGTCCTTGTAGTGATAAATTAAACATACAATTCTAACCTTCCCAGTTCTTGTACGCTAATGAACCAGACTCTTAAAAATATGATCTTTTTAAAACAAAGGTATGGGGTATCATACATCATAACACAACTATCAATGTTCTTTTTAAAACAAAGGTATGGGGAAAAGAAAAACAAAACCTATCATACATCATAACACAACTATCAATTATATTGTTTAATTAAATTAATTTAAAAATGAAAATACTTTAAAAAATTTATTTGGAGTGTTCTGCATGATATAATAAAAATAGGGCAGAGGTTGTGAAAGGATGGAACACATTGTGTGATATGTGAGATGAAACATAGTGAAAACCTAAAGACTTGATAGCACTTGGTATATTGGAAAGTAATTAATTATTATTCATTAATTAATAATATTAAATAGATAAGAAACACCTTCAGGCTCATTACAGTGTCTACCAGTTCTACATGCTAGTCTTTTATGCTAGCAATAGCAAGGAATTGCAGGTTTTGTGAGGGTAAAGTTAAGACATAAAGTTTCTGTACAGCCAGAAGCTGTTATCACAATGGCAACCATTTTCATATGCTATTTCACACTGAATATTGACTCAACGTGGTAGGCTAATAATACATTACTATGTGTAACAGAGTATTTTTTACAAATAGAAATATGGAGTACACCGTTAACCTCCTGAATTTAGGCCACATATAAATGTGATAGAAGTCTGATAGCAGTTAACTAACAGTCCCATTTAAGGATGTTATTTACCTCCATATGTATTTAGTATATATATATTTTAAAAACCCAGTCTACAGCTATTTTTTCAGAAATTAAAAAATGAGTTAATATATGGAAATAGAAAACCAGTTGAAAATGCCATTTTAAGGTGGAAACACTTCTTGAGTGAATGGACAAAAACATAACTTTGTCATGGTCTTTCGAGGGCAAGTGTGAAAATATTTACAAAATTGGAAAATATTTAAAAATAAATACAGTATATTTCTCAGTTCCCTCTCCAGGGTTACTTCTGCCTTTGCTGCCTTTGCTGCACTTCTCTGAACACTCACTTTATGAGAACGTAGGATTTTAAATTTTGATTGAACTTCTCCAGGCTGTAAGGATGGACAAGTTTGTGTGGACCTTTTAAAGAAAATGCTGTTTCCTCCTTGAATACTGCAAAGACAAAAAAATGACAGAAAAAAGCATACAAAGCCCAACTCCATTCAAACATTTGTGAAGTCAGTCTCCATGAGTGACAGAATAGCTCAAAGTCGTTATTCACATATATTGAAAATTGTTTTTAATCGAATTTCTGCGCCACAAAACAAAATAAGCACATTTTATTCTAAGAACTGCGAGTTTGTTTTCAAATATCTTGTAATTGTTTACTGGATGCTGGGAGCTATTTCACAGTAAACACACTAGAATATGGTAGAAAAAGGCTAAATACAAATGTCAGTTGTGCAGCCTTTTTTTTTTTTTTTTTGCTGAAGGCTTGTTTGGACACTTGGAATATATGGTCATCAGTTTTCTTAAAAGATCCTTTATGGCAACAGTCCCCAACCTTTTTTGTACCAAGGACCGGTCAGCTGGTATCAGCAGTTACTGTGGACCAGTAATACCGTACCATCGTTGAAGGATCATTACATTTGCGAAATAAACCATCTTTTCTGTTAGTATCAAAAAAGTAAAGGGATATGACTTTAATGTGAGGATTATTTTTTAATGAAGTAAATTAGTATTATTAGTACAGTATATTTTATATATAGAAGTACTTTTTTCACTGCGGCCTGGTACCAAATAATCAGACTGGCACTGGTCCCCGACCCAGGAGTTGGGGACCCCTGCTTTATGGAATTCATGTGTTACTGTACTTCGTGTCTTTTTTTCTTTTCTTTTTTTATGGGGGAGGGGGGGTTAGTGCTAAACATAGGTTCTTGTAATATATGGTGTTCTTTAATTTCAATGACTAGACTTACTATTAAGGTTCTTTAAAAAAAAGTGACCTGCATTTTCTTGCTTTGATGTGAAGGATATGGTATTCTACAGTCATGATATATATTGTATAATATTAATTTTAATACTTTTTAGTACATTTGTCTTGATACAAAGGCAACAAGTAAAAACACTGATGTGTTACGGGTAGAAAACCTTAAACTTTATAATTAAGATGACACAGCACGGTTTAAAATGCTGCGTTAGAAGCACTTGGTTTGTATAAAATACCATAAATCGTTAAATGCTGCATACACATAATATTGTATGAAAGCTGTATCAGAGTTCCGCGCAGTCCATTACTCATGCCTTAGTGATCGACCCTGTGGATGTGCACCAGGCAGGAGTAGTAGAGCGCAGACACCTTCCTTAACCCCCCCATGAGTGTGTATATATCTTTATTTTTTTATTACTTTGTGAGTGGGAAAAAACTCTTAATTATATTAAAAGTGTAGGGCCAAAGAGAAGAATATTATGTATGCTTTTGTTAGATTTTTTGAAGACGATATGTGCGACGTGCTGCCCTCGTCTGATGTGGAAAATTTCAGACCACTGCACAAAACAGATTTTGATAATCAGAAGGTGTATCTGGTTCACAGAAGTGAGGAGAATGGCAGCGCAGGCCAGCCGTGCGAAGCACACATCCTTGCCCTTGCAGGTAAGATATTCTCCCTAATAATTCAATGCCAAATTTTAGAGCTCTATTTTTCTATATCGCAGCCAGTAACGTCGCTGTGCATGGAAACGTGTCGCGGCAGGTTCCATTGTCCGATGGGTTATGACAGTGATCTGACACAGATATATCTGTATCTTCGTCCTCGGCGAGTGCTAGCCGCGTATGCTACTTGGATATGCTAAAATAACTTCGGTGCGTTGTTGTCTCTATTGTTGCTACTTCTGTTTTTTGAAACATTTGTTATCTCGTTCTCCAAGTTAGCTGTGGTTGTTTCGACTGTGTTTGTTATTGGGTTGCCGAATGCTTAGTATGCAGCGTTAAGCACCACGACCGTTGTTTACAACGTGTAGCATATTAGCAACTTAGCGCCAATATGCTAGTCAGTTGCGGACAGACTGAGAGCTGTCACCTCATTTTTCACGAAATTATATGACAGCATGCCACAGAAAACAATATAAGTCTATAGTATTGTATCGTTTGTATTTTTAGCCCAAACGCGAATCTGATGCTGTAAAAGGTTGCAGGTAGCCGGTTAGCGGGTTAGCACAGATGGGATGCGGTGGTTCTGCGGTCGTCGCTGTGACACAGACATCCTTGTTTTCATGCTGTCTCAGTTAACATGTGAGCGTCATAACTGCTTTCATGACAACGCATCATTTTGCCTTGTTAAATATGTTTACCTTTATACTCGGTCTTTAAATAGCCATTGGTGTAATGATGTGAGTTCTACATGCTGGAGAATGTGTTCGACCTCACAACACCTTTACTGCGTCCGTCACATCAGGACACTTTGTACCGAAGTAAAGACTTCCATTTTATTTGCTAAGAACAGCACACTCATCCGACTGTGATTAACGTGTCCTTGCCATTAATTCATTTATTAAGGTATCCACAACACGTTTTTTTTCTTCACGATTCTACTTCACAGATACAGTAGAGGGATTCGACCGTAGTATAATGCAAAAGAAGATGAAAATTCCCAAGATGTCCATTGAAAATTCAGGAAACTCCATTGAGAACAGTTTTGGAGAAGAGAGAATCCCGTTGAGACATAAAAAGGTAGGAGTAAAAATATAACTATGAAGTTATATTTAACATATTCTGCATTCTGATATTATCATATGATTTTGATTTTGTAGCGTGACCATGTCACAGACTGATTAAGATGTTCAATGTACAATGTGGTACTACTTTAAAGAATTATACGAGGACCGTGTAAAGTGTCACAATTCAAAAACTTGGATTGCAACCAAGGTGACATACTTTTTTTTAACTTTATGTCGGACTAACACAAAATCTGCACTTTGGACAAATCCTCTGAGCAGATCATTGACATATTTTTTTGTTATTGTCTGTTCAGAGCCAACAGTCAAAAACAAATTAAATTTCACATCTGACATACCCTTTGGGTGGATTTTTTAAATTTATTTTAAACTCCATATGTTGGTTTACTTTGTAACTAAATGCATGGCTATTAATTGATTGACCAACTTTTTATTTATCAGACAAAAGAACAAAGAACATTTTGTCCCTTTGTCTGTTTTAAGACTAAAATGTATACCTACAGCACACCTTGAAAAGTTGAAAAGGTATTATTTACTTAATAACGTCAGTTTTGCAGTGGAATTGAGGCACGAAAACGCTGTTGCTGCTTTTCTTTGATTTTCATCTTTATCATTCCTTAAACATCTTAATCGGCTGCAGACAGGCAAATGCACAAGAATGAGTGTTTTACCTCTTTTTGATTGCAAAACAGTGCTATGATCTTATCAATGCCATTGTAGTATTTTGCAATGGAAACAGTGGATTATTCAAACACATTTTTCTTTTTTTTCCTTAGGCACTGTCACAGGACCATGGACGCCCTCTATCCAACTCCTCAAAAAGCCTTGCTGCAGTTGTGGCTCGCCTGGAAAGAAACGCTGCCAATGCCAACTCCTACATGGAGAGTGAAGAAGACTTTGATGAGGACCGGCTAGCTGAGGAGGGCGAGGATGCCGAAGATGAAGACGAAGATATGGAGGCAGAACATCAGCAACATCATCACCAGCAGCAACAACAACAACAGCATTTAGAGGTGGATACAGATTGTGTTTCACAGGTAGCCGCAGCCATGGTCCCTAGAGTTTTGTACGAGGAGCTAGTTCACAGCTACAGGCAACAGGAGGAGGAGATGAGGAGGCTTCAGCCGGAGCTGGAGAGAACCCGCAGACAGCTGGTACAGCAGGCCAAGAAGCTAAAGGAATATGGGAGCCTGCTGACAGAAGTTAAAGAACTGAGGGACTTTAACAGGAGGCTGCAAGATGTCCTCCTAATGAGATTGGGCAGCGGTAAGAGAGTGAGAGCATGTATTCACACAAACTGGCTTCTACTACTGTCACTGTTGAACAGTTAATGCAGCTGTATATAGAACAACAAGAGCACCATTTCATTTAGATAGTCCTTATGATTTATTCACAAAAAAAGTTACAGTTTTGGTTTAGCACTTCCATGTAATAGAATGATACTTTTTTTAAGCCCAGTGGTTTTAGAATGACATGCTTTTATGGGTTGTTATAACTCTGAAAATGTCTTAACGTTTATAATGGTAAATTAGGACTTATAAATGGGATTGTGTTTTGTTAATTTTTCCCCTTATTTATTTACATGATACAGTGCAACGGTGTTACTGTAAATATTCAACAAAAATAGGTGCATTGTAGAGTTCTTGCTCTTTATTTTGGCAGGTGTGCAGTCAGTCACTTTTGTACCAAATTAGATTCCACCAAATCACAGCAACTGTGTCAGTCAGTGTTGAGGTGGCCAAGTGTCAATTCAACTGTTATGGCTACATCACTGCAAACACGACTGGGTTCAGCCAACACCAGTTAATGAGTTTGGAAATGTGGTAGTCTTTGCTCTAAAGGATAGCAGGTAGAACATCCACAGACCAACACTCGCACACAAACATGCAGCCCTCCCATAGTATTTAAACTTGTTTTATTTGATTGTATTTTGTGTTAGCCTTATGTTGAGATTCCTACAGCTTTGAAAGCAGACGTCCACAAACAGGCAAACCAACGGAGATACACATGCACACACACCTCACACAGTTATCGTGTTGATTGTGTTTGACGCTGTTTATATGTAGTTTACAGAGATTGTAAAGGCTTTGAAGGCTGGGGGTTCCTTTGTGAAATACCTCCCTGCAGGGTTGCACAAATCTATACCTTTAGAGATAGCAGCTTACTGTTTTCAAAATGGACTTTTTCATTCAGAATAGGTGTCAGGTTTGTCAATGAANNTGTCAATGAAGCCGCTCTTGGAAGTGACCTGTACACAGGAATGTAAATAACCATAGGTATTTGAGTAATTCCAAGTACTGTTTCTTAGAAAGGCACTAATGCAAGTAGCTAGTGTTATAGTCAGCTGCACTAAAAATCTGGACAAAAGCACCTGACTCCAGTAAACTGAGGAGGCAGTTCTATAGACAGCTTAAAGATTAAAGTGCCGAGTGTGCTGTTGTACCCGCTGTGAAGTTCTCAGACAAATATTAAAACTTGTCAGCAATCTTCGAACTAAATGTAGCCAGCCAAGAGAGCCAGTTTAGTTACTTGGCTCTCCAAGCCCACACGAGGCACATCCCTGGGCTGAAGGTGAAAACCAAGGACAAACACTGATACTGCACACCGCTTCAATAGTGATGAGCAAAGGAACACTGCACTGTATGAATTAGGATGCTTTATGTATTCTGAGCATTGGTCAGGATGTTGCCTGTATTTTTACCTCTAGAGAGTTATTATAGCCTGATAATGATCATTTTTATCCATTTAAACTAATTATTTATATTCTAGATCTAGTTTCTTTGAACCTGATTTTTTTCATTTTTTGACTGAAAATCACTCAGATCCATGCACTTCTAAAATCATCTCTTTACCTAAAAATTCACTCCACACTAGTTAGTGATGAAAGTATAAAGACAATAAAATGTAACATTATTAACGTTAACTAATAGTCATCTAGTCCTTTTGGGTGGGTAAAGATTCAATAATTTTAACCAAAGATTTGATATTTGCAACTTGTGAAATTTACATGCTATGATGTTTAGTTAGTCAGTGTTAATCTGAGGAAAACAGATACTGAGATTTCTAAAGGAATGAATACAAGTTTGGCTGCTCCCTGATAACAACAGATAAGACCTAATGGTCAAGCATAATATACCAAGTGATATATGATCTAGCAATTGGAATTCAGCTGGATCTACAAATGTACTATTAGCTGGCAAAATCTTGGTTCCTCAGCCACAGAAAAAGGGGATTTCTAATCATTTATTGCATTTGCCTTCTCGATGTCCCTAGTAAACATCTCTGCTCCTTTAACACCTGTTACATAGAAACATCCATGCAATATTTCTTGTTTGCAGCCTAGCTGCTGCTGCAATGTTGTCTTCCTCCAACACCGTGCATCCAGATTGGTGAAAGACACTTGTGGTAACCCCGATTAGCTGTTTTCAGCTCGTATGCTAATGGACATGCTGATGTTCAGAAGTATGACGTCAAAAGCCTGAGGACACAGCAGGCTCTCTGATCAATTCATGAACAACACAGTAATGAAACCCTACTTCATCAATAATCAGTCAGCAGTCAATAATATCATGCATCCCTATTTTTTTTATCAATCATTAGTCACAATTAATCATTTCAACCCTGTTTAGTCACCAGCTTTCGATTGATGTATGGTGATAAAAGTTATTGGATATTCTTGTGTTGCCTTTTTGTGTTTGGTGTCTAATTTACATAACTAAATGTGTCTCCTGTTTTCAGAGCCCATGCATGACAACGGCACTCAGACAATCAAAGCTGAAGTTGTTGAACCCATTGTTGAAGCCCAGGAAGCATGTAAAGAAGAAGCTAACACCAGTTCCAGCTACTCACCTTCACCTAGAACAGTATACACCTGCAACGACGGAAAGGTCGGTACCACAAGCCCTAACACATTAACCTGATCGTGTGTGATGCGTGTAAAGGCCTGTTAGACATTGACTGTAATTTGGGATCAGAAACAACGACAGCAGTTGTTTCCTTGTGAAATTGTTTTACTACTTTTGCAGTAATGTATTTGTATCTTTTTTTTAGGTTTAGTACATTACTACATCAAAAAAAATAAAATGTCATTTTACATTAAAAAAACTATAACTCAGACAATTCTGTAAACTTAAAATCTATATTTAAGGCCTTGGTTGACATTAAAATTTCTTAAATTAGTTGTTTATTTGTAAAAGAGCAAGACAAAAAAATTATTTTGTTTGTTTTTTTCATTACTGAAAATTAAATTCAAAATCAAATTATATTCAAATAAAACAGGTTAAAATCCTGTGTAAAGCCAACTCTGCCTGTGGGAAGTACCAGTTTGATTTTGTAGAAACTGTGGCTGTTCCTCTGCTGCTCTGTAGCTAGGAACATGCCGTTGTAGCTGATTAGTTTTTTTTACGTCCTGCTTGACCTGCCCTAGCAGGTAAACAAGGTTGAGAAGATTATTTTTGTTCCTGCAGTCGCGGCCAACATCATCAGTGTTTATTAGCCTGTTAGGGTTCTTTACTCCCCCCTCCACTGTAACTCAACCCAGGGTCCTGTTTCTGATGACAGGGGGGGAATTGGTACTACAAGCTCTGTGGCCTGCTGCCACTTCAACCGTGAAGAACACTTGCAAATTAGAACTCTCCTACATCAGGGACCCAATATTAATTATTTGCATGAGAGGAATTTAAAGTGACTGACAGGTTAGCCCTGATGAGAACGTGCTTGTGGACAAGTGATAGGAAAGGATGAAGAGCGATGGGAAAAGGGTAAGAGAGGGAGAGAGAGATAAACGAGGGCATGAGGAGAGGGAGGATGAAAACAATCTTGTCTAACTCCAGGGCAGTAAAAAGGACCTAAAGCACATTAGCTGCACAGGGAAAAGCCTTTTGGATGCCGGCCTAAAGACTTTACAGTGATAAGAGAGCAGGGTGGAGAAAGGGACTCACATATGCTCCCTGCTGCATTAACTCTTCTACAAGACCAGAACAGCCTGCCCAGTCTGGCAGTCAGCTCAGAGTGTTGAGTAATGACTTAGGTGGTGATGCAGCGAAGCAGAAAGCCATAGGTTCATACTCCATAGTTAACAGAGCACACATCCAGTGGGTTACCGTAACCAGGGCTTATCAACTGTATTTGTCGAAGGGGCAGAATTTTTCTGGACACACACATTGGGGGCCGGACACTCTAATAAAATTTTAAAAGAATATCACATTTTCTTTAACATTATTATATGATTATTTTGGAATCCAGTGGTGAGCTGGATTGGACTGTTTGGTGGACCAGTTTCGGCCCGTGGGTCACCAGTTGATGATCACTCTTTAGACTAGGGGTGTTGTAGTGACTGTGGTCACACTTCACAATTATATTTCTATTTACTTACAACCACTACTTCTACTACTTGTTGAGCACCTCTGGTCTAGTTAAATACTTTGGCCTAGATGAGAACTGGTCCCTGAGAACTCACGGAAAGGTCATAGCCAATAATTTTAACATGTAAAATGATAATACCATTGTCAGCAATGTCCCAGTATTTTCCACTTCAATTTACAAACAGAATGAAGCAACTTTTTATGTAATCACTATAGCCTAACAGCAGTGTCACCTTTTTCCAAAACAAAATCAACTTCCTCAAAAAAGTCCACATTTTTTGTTAAATGAGTTCATAATTATCTACACGTATATATTTTAATAGTAGATCCTGGCTTTACCGTATTTACAACATATCCATGCTGCTGGCTCTGCACTCAAACAAAGGGGAAAAACAATGTTTTGAGTAACACTACCAGCACTTGTTGTATAAATCTGGGGAGGCATAAAGACTTGCTGCAGCCTACGTGCTTGTGTACATGTTTGCCAGGCGCTGCCACCACAGCTCAGAAAATCTTAGAGGAAACATTGCTCACACAGTAACTTCAAGCAAAACCATGCTGCTTGTAAATGTTCTGCTTGATTGTTCAAAGTTTTCTTCCTCACAGTGTATTTAGGTTATCTTGTTATCGTTTTATATATAATAATCACCTTGACAGATTACAGCGTTGAGTTTTCTTCTGCTTAGGTACACTTGGGTGGTGGGATTTGGGTGGAGGAGGAGAAGTGGCACCAGCTGCAGCGCACACAGGGAGACTCCAAGTTCACCAAGAACTTGGCAGTGATGATCTGGGGAACGGAAACCTTGAAAAATCGCAGTGTCACAGGAGTGGCCACCAAAAAAAAGAAGGATGCACTGCCCAAACCTCCACTGTCACCCAGCAAGCTCAAAATAGTCAGAGGTAAGACTTTTACTCCTACCTCAGCTTTAAAGCCTGATCTGATTACAGAGAAAAGTTGTTGTTTTGAAAAGTGTTATGTTATATTGTATTATAGACTTTTTTAGAGGATATCTGTCATTTTATCTTAGATGTGACTGCTAACACAAACCTCTTCCCCAGAATGTCTGTACGACAGAGTGTCGCAAGAGACAGCTGACAGTGCAGAGATCACACAGAGATTGTCCAAAGTGAACAAATACATTTGTGAAAAGATAATGGACATCAACAAGTCCATCAAGAACGAGGAGCGGCGAGAATCCAAGCTGCTCATCAGACAGACAGTCAAGATGGAGAACTTCACCTACGATGGCATGTAGTGATCAACTGTTGTCACACCAGCGCCTTCAATCCTCCCAGCCGTGGTTCATAGATTACAAAGGAGACTTGATATGAGTTGTGGAGAGCGTGGGGTGTTTGTTACAAATCAGGAGCAGGTATGTTTGGATTGGTTTTAACGAGAATGAATTATGAGCCTTCCCAGCTCCTTGTAAAACAACCAAAACCTTCATCAGTGCCCAGTTTTTCTTATTTTGCTGACAGACAGCTTTACCTACAGCCAGTAGAACACAGGTGAGTTAGTCTGAGATGAGCAGGTGTGTGTGTGTGTTTTTATTTTAGGATTGAATACGGAATTGGTACAAAGGCACGATTTATTGTGCTATATGCGTTAGAGTCGCAATAGATTTAATGTGATTGTTAAATTATTGTTCTGTGTCAGAACACAATTTTGCATCGGAAACTTTTAAAAAGTAAGCGCTGCTTCCCCCCAAAAAGTCTTAAAAAGCTACAAAATGGTGATGATGGTGATTGAGATGATCAACAACATCGGATTGAATACTAGGTTGGATTATTGGTGACGTATTCACTGTTAGAGACTCTGTTGTCTCACATGCACAGGTCTTGATTACTAACAGCCATAAGACTCTTTTTCAGCAGATTCTGTTGTCAACTGTGTGTTTGTGTGTGTGTGTGTGTGTGTGCGTGCGTGCGTGCCTCCCCCTGACCTGGATATACAGTATGAGGCAATCAAAAGCTGTATATACCAACCCTTTACTGAAAGTTCAGTACCGTCAACTAAATGAACTAAAATCGTGAATCTGGAATTGTAAAAAAATGACCTTAAAGGCCAGAGGACAAAGAAAACACTTGAACTGTTTCCATGTTGAAACTTGATTATATTTCCAAAATATAAACTACAGCATTTCATGGAAATAAGGCCTCATCCCATTGTTTATTTCAATGGAAAATTTAAAAAATTTTAGCCACCTAATACAAGCTGTATCCTCCAAAAACATGCAAATTGCTGTAACAGAAAGACAAATCACAGCAGGTGAATTTATGCGTTTCAACTTTTGTTTTTTTATCCATCTGAATCATTCATTTGGAAAAATTGTCAAGAAAAATATTCAAATGTTTAACTCAAAATTTGCCACACTGAGTTGGTTAATTTTAGTTACTACTGTGAACCTTGATTGTGACTAACTTACTGTCCCTCGCTCAGTGAGGCTGGTCTGACATAAGCTGGGCGTCTAACTTGAATTTAAAGCCCCCACAGACACCTGCTTGAGGTTGAGATGGTATTTTAAGCTCTAGGTTCTTCAGTGAAACAAAAACTCCTTCCCTTTTAAAATGGGAATACAGGCCACCCCTCCATTTCTGTGAAATACAGTACTTCAAAGTGGTACCTGTGATTTATTACCAACAAAGGTTCTCAAAAAATGAACAAGATAATTTGTCAAAGAACATTTGTCTGTGGTTCTGTTGGCTCAGAAATCGTATCCGCCTTCAGGCACAGTTTTTGGTTGACTTCCTCTCTTCATATACAGTTTCATGGAGACTTGTTTCCTGAAACTATATTGAGCCTGTGTTTTAGGTGAAACCCAACTCATGCAGCTGCGGTCATGTACGTTCAGCTGTGATTGTCGATTTTACACACGCACAGAATTCTCCTCCGGAATTCATGGGAACTTTAAACTATTAACGCTACTTAATGACAGGCTTTAAATGTTTTCCTGCATCGTGCCGAGAAGTTCACTGACATCGATGCAGAGTGTTGAGCTACAGCTCAGTCTAACTGGGAAGTAGCATTTATTTTGTAAACAGTGAACACAGTATTTTTTTCCTTTGTCCTTTTGCCCTAAAATAAAGATTCAAATGAATAACCAAACTACAAATCTTAGTCAGTTGGTATAGAACTTTGGTGAATTGTTACAAATTAATTGGAAGGGTATAGAACTTTGGTGAATTGGTGAATTGTTACAAATTAATTGGAAAGTGAGTTTTTATTTGTATTTACTTTTATATTTATCTTTTTTAATGAAAAAACCCCCAATATTGTCAATTACTGGAGTGAGCACAAGGCAAAGGTTTTTGATGACTTTTGAAGATGTTGTCCTTAATCAAATGAGACACTTTCCGACGATATGACTGTTGAGCGGTTTAGAGCGGTTTAGGCGTGACGACGCCAGGAAAAGGCCTTAAATGGATTTGGCAATCACCGGGCTCTGGTCGGGCCTTGGGTTTTGTAGTAAGCTGTGATTGTAGATTGTAATAGGCATGAGCTGAAATGCTGAAGCTTCACCTGCACTTTGGTGTGAGAATGTATGTGATAGATAGGTACCTGTTTATATGCTGCTCAGCTGATCAGAGCCGTGCGACTTTCTCGCCTCGATCCCGGGGAAGGAAAACAAACCGCACACGACGATGCGGGTGAGAAAACGAAGATTTGAGCGGTGCTTGGTGAGGTCATCTTCATGTGAAATCAGTGTTGACTGTGGGTAAAGCTGTCTGAAAACTTGTGCTGTCGATGTTGTC